GACGACGTTGATGTCGTCCCGGACGGAAATTTAGAATTATGGTGTTAGAAGCATTTAACAGATAGTCGTGAATAAAACATAAAAAATATCCAGGACAAACACTTCATGTTATCAAAAAACTTGTTTCTCTAAACGGAAGTCTCTAATAAAATGAGAAGAATTAATAGAACTAATAGCAAAAATCTCGAGATCAGAAAAATTAAAACAGACTCACTTTTTTAACTAATAAATTTATGTCAAAAAATGGTCTCTAAAAAATTAAAAAGATGACATTAGTTGTATTTATAGACACCACAAGATCAAAGAGTTTTTTATTTGAAGACAAATTAGAATTGTACCAAAACCTCTTGCCTCTTTGTGATCACAGATTTAAAAAAAAATAAAAATTAATACAAAATTCTAATAACCGGTTCAAGTCTCATAAAAATAAGCAAATAATAAACAGAGATGTACTCAAAATGTATTATTGATTTTTTTTTGTTCAAATAAGAAAAATATTTTCTAAATTTTGAATAAAGTATTTATTAACAATTGAAATACAACCTGGTTAGACACTAATCCTGCAACATCCTGTATAAACATATGATGTTGCCTAATTAGTTATTAAAAAGTTTTGGTACAAATGACTCATTCTTGTAAACATGCGATTAGATAAAATTTCGCATTTTTATCACCCGAAATGAGTCAGGAACAAATAGAGTGAGATGAGAACCCTCCCAAAAATCAAACAAGTGAACAAGTGAAACATATTTTTATCACAAGTTGGAATTATCTTATCAATGAGATTAAGTAATGATGTAATCGTGTTGTCATGTTTCTGAAAACAAACCTTTTCATTGTCAGCAATTCTTTCAATTGCTCAATTATCCGAGTGAAATTTTTCTTTTGATAAAGTCTACACATGTTATACTCTAGAATACGTAATTATCTCAAACAATTCTAATGCTCGCTTGAGTAATTTGAAATTAGCATCAATTTCTGTCAGCAAAGGCGTGGTAACTTATGAACGTTGACCCCGGGAAAATGCACTCTAGCTCTAGCTGAACCTTCCGGTTATAATTCCTCAAATGCATCACAAGCGTGGGTTACCATATCACCCCACACTGGAAACACGAAGAAGATACAAAGATAACAAAACCGACATTTATGACTTTTGAGATAAATAAACTGGGAAAAAAGAGAGATCGCAGGGATTTATTATCACCTGTAACCAGATACAAACTTCCGCCATAATAAAAATTGCAGGAGTTGCATTAGTGCAACGGAGAGATTTCTTTCTCAAGTCTAAAGCTCTTGGTAAAATTGGGTAATTGACTGTCGATTTTGACACGTAGAACTATTAAATGCATTAATAAAAAGAAGGATCGTGATTATGTTCACTTACTCATCCTTTAATTATTTTAATTATAAATTTGTGACACGATTCGTGTTCTCTGAGTCAAACTTTCACCGACACTAATTTTTTGGGAATTACACTCAAGTATAGCTCCCAAGAAAAAAATTTAGGTACGTTTATGACCAAATAAAGCTTTTACCAGGTGAATAAAAAGTATGGATCCAAGCGTTTTTTCGTAAACTAAGCACTTTACGAAAAAAATAATTAGTGTAGCGTAAAGCACAATTGAAATGTGACCAGTTATCAAAAATAACATTTTTCAAAATGTCTTTTAGTTTTCGAGTTCTGGAAAAAAATTTTTTTTTAAATGGCAACCCACCATGGTAATTTTTTTAATTAAAGATTATGATCTAAAAATGACCTCTAATTAAATAAAATTGTTTTTTAGCCAGTACTTTTTTTTAATTAATTGTTAAAGTTGCGTTCCGAGCTCATCACGAAGATTTTACACTTAACCGAAGTGGTTGTTTCATGCTTTTCATCATGGAAGAGCGCTGATTTCTATGCAGGTGCTTTGGGATGATTTCGAATGGACTAAAAATAGAAAAGGATTTTTTACATTTTTTGATCCATCCGGAAGCACCCCAAAGCACCTGCACCAAAAACCGGGCTCTCCAACGACCAAAGTCATGAAACGACTCCCTCGTTCAAGTTCGGAAAATCTTCGTGATGGGCTCGGAACGCAACTTTAACAATTTATTTAAAAAAAAGTACTGACTAGAAAACAATTCTGTTTAATTAGAGGTCATTTTTAGATCATAATCTTTAATTAAAAAAATTACCATGGTGGGTTGCCATTTAAAAAAAAAAAAATTTTCCAGAACGAAAATTAAAAAAAATTTCGAAAAATGTTATTCTTGATAAATGCTCACATTTTAATTGGACTTTACGCTACACTAATTATTTTTTTGTAAAGTGTTTAGTTTACGAAAAAAACGCTTGGTTCCATACTTTTTATTCACCTGGTATATCTTCTGCTTACAAGTAATTTCTCTCTTTACTTGGCATTTCGAGATAAAAGTTCTACAAAAAAAAATATTATGTGGTGGTACCTGCAAGAAGAGTACTATAATTACAAAATAAATATGTAGATACATAAAAAAATTCTATTTTCGAAACTAACTTGTTGTGCAACAACACTAATTTTTAAAAAAAAATTATGATAAAACTATATTTTGGTATGTGCTGGTGTTCATGTCGAAAGATCAACAAAAACCAATTATCACTTAATTGAAATTGAGATTGTCACAAATTCCCAAAAAAAAACCTGAAATTGAATATTAAAATTAACGTTTTTTGTTTGTCTAGAATCAGTGGAAACAACAGAAAAGAGTCCAAGTTTTGCTATACGGTGTTTTCCTATGTATTTATCTTTCAAATATTTCAGTTTCGGTTTAAAAATGAATAACTGATAACATTGTAGCAATAATCTAAAAAAGTAAATATTAGATTTTTATCAGACAAGCGATAAGATTTGTTTATAACATTTTGTATTTTGTTTGCTGAAGATATTATTGACAAAATTACCTAAATAAATAGAATCAATTAATGTAGTTACATACTTAAGTGCCAAGGATATAATAATCAAGATTTTAGCCAAACATGCCTTAAAGGGCTGTCAAATGCCCGAGGACTATAATCTTTAATTATGCCCAACGTTGATTTAACCTCAAAATTATTCTTCTTCCAGTGACACCACAAGGACGTCCATTTACCATTTATCTACTGACTTTTTTTGACCATATAAATTTGAAATGCAAAAAACGCATTAAATCGGTGTGTTGTTAAAGGTAATTAACTTTGCTTCCAAGCTTATTACCTATTTCTCTTGGTGATAAAATTTACATATACATATTTTAAAAGCCTTGCATACCTTTAATGAAAACTGACATAATGAATTAGATAACATGCAATTAGAACAGATTTAGTAGTTTGATAAAATGAAATAAATTATTTCCTGACAAGTTTTCCGGTTGCAATTTTCTTTATCAAAGTATCGATTGTCTCTGATATCAGCTTTAACACAATGTGCTGAAACGACTCTGTGACGAAGTGTAGGTATGTAAAATTACCGAGAAAACATTTCTTAACGATTGTTTTGTTGTGGCGACGTGGAAAACCGATAGGAAAATTAGCTATTGGTAACATGATTTATCAGAATTTTTTAAATGAAAAGCTTGTAGAATGTTGTAAAAAACTTGGGAATACAAAACATCATAAAAATACAAAAAATAATGTTGATTCTTAAGAAATAATGATCAATGTCCAGTCATTAAACATTTAAAATCCATTACAAAATCGTATGAACACTCAAGATCAATTAATCATCAAAACATTTTACATTAAACTGGCAATAATCAACTTCTTGTAAAGGTGGTAAAAAAAATAATTTTTCTTGTTTACATTAAAAAGCATTTTCTCAATTCTTCTTTTGGAATAAATTCATTACATCGAATAACCTCATTTGCAACAATCTGTCTTTTACTTCTCTTATCAGAGTAGTTGTGCCTATTATAGTGCAAAAAACTCCAAAATTGACAGTTATGTCACAATTATTTTGACAAGCATGAATGCCAACCACATGTGCCCATACGAAACGGCAGTTTTAATAACTGGGGAAACTAAAATTATCATTCTGTTTGTTCTGTTGGTAACAATATAAATAAACAATGAAACAAGTAATGTCAACCCACATTTTTAAAACAATCAAACTTTCATTGTTTTCTTCATCGACTTGAAAGGCCATATTCTGAAAAATATAAAAATTGTGGAGGCTAAACCGTGACAACATTTAATTTAAATATTTAAAAATAACAATAACTCCTATTGTATTCAACTTGAGTACATAAATAATTGGATGCAGAGTTTTAAAACTAAGTTGTAATTAGCCAATGTTTTATTTATTTTTAAACAAAATCCCGATTTTTCTATAAAAGTGCAAACAATCTCAGGTTGCTGTGGTGTCATTTTCGCGCTGCCAACTCTCCCAACCGAAATTTTTCAAATTTAAAATATTCAAACCGTTAAATTCCTGCAGCCTCGTAATCCTTCATGGAAAATTTAAGAAGTGACTAAGGGACGAAATCTAATATTTATTCGGGTATGAGTCACCAAAACAAATGAACTTGCACCCTGCGCACGCCACCCCCAATCGAAGACCCGACCCTTAGAAAACTGATAAAACAATCAAATGAGTGCACAATAATTCGCTTTCTGTTATTGCACAATTCCGACGCGCGTTTTGTGTGTGATTGAGCAATTCGTGTCTCATTTATATCAACATTTTGTGGGATTTCGTAGGAGTATAATCCCGACGTGGCCACCTGAGACGGGATCTGACACACCTGCAAACCACTTTGACTGGTTCACCTGAGTTAGTCATGCAGGTTGGAGGATTTGACCGTTTTGGTCCAACAGCGAACTGGTTGACCGTTCCTCGCCGAAAAAATCGGCCTCACCATCTGTTTTTCTCCCTTTTGTTTGGTTTAAATAATCGCTTTGGAAATTGCGAAAAAGGATCACGGTGGCTTGGTTTAGCGCAAAAGTGCTGTTGTCTTGGAAACGGTGGTGATTTGGGAGTGAAATTGGGAGTTGAGGGACTCACCCAGAGCTCGGTGCCCCAGTTCATGCTTTCGGTTGCGGTCGTCATTAATCCAATAACAATAACTTAAACACTCAACAACACATCAAACAATTTACTTGTAACCAACACTGGGATTTTCAACCGTCACTACCCAACATGGCTGTTTCACTTTAGACAGTTCTCAAACGAGTGAGGCGGAGGAATGAGACAAGGTTGTGAGAGATAAAGACAAACCAAAAGGAGGCGATTTGATTGTTTAATTCTCGATTGTGGCGACCTCTGCACAAGAATGGTCAAAATAAAAGTAGGTTTCTTTTTTATCAAAACATTTCACAAATTGTTTTAGATGACTATTATCAAACTTTAATAAGATAGGTTAAAAAAAACAAATTATATTTCTCATCAAATTTTCAAAATGTGTAAATAAAGATTTTATCCAGTCATGTACAGTTGCGGAATTAAAATTTCGGGCAGTATTTTTCTCACTTTAAAAAGTTCACTGTAAACTACCTTTTACTGTCATCATGACTGACATTTGACAATTAAACTTTTTTTTGTTGTTAAAATTGTTAATTAAACAATTTGACTGTCTTAGGAAACTTATTGAACAAGTGTGACTTTGATCTGCTGCCCATGCTTTATTACTTATTATGCAACAAATCACTATTTTTAAAGTAAATAAGTCAAAATGTCATAAACATGACAAGAGCAAAAAATGAGGTTATTAATGTGAAGGTAGTTTTAGAGTTTACATTATTATGAAAATGACAATACTGCCGGAAATTTTAATTCCGCTACTGGACCATCGCCGACTCCATTCATACTAGCGTATACGGCCTTTCCATAAGCCCTAAAAATATGTTTTTGAACAATTTATAATCGTTCCTCATGTGGCGCCACTAACGGTGAATTTTTAAACCAATTTTTTTTTAAAACGTCAAAAGTGGGTGTCATGTCAAATCTTAATTCTCAATTAAGATAATGTTAAACCAAAAGAAGCACGGATCTCGGAAAAGAATAAAGAATTGGCACTGAATTTGTGTTCTGTGGAAAAGAAGTTTAACACATGTGAAACGGCTTGACGGTACTGTTTGCCAATTTTAACATTATGTATTTAAACCTCTACCTGTTGTTAAACTTTTCCAGAATTCATTATTTATACTCTGGTTGCTCCAAAAACTTTGCCTATGAGGAAAATGACGAAAGTGGAGATCGCAGGGATTGCTGTGGGGCTGGAGTGTTATTACGGTTGCATCAGTGCTACGTGCTACAATTGAATATTCCATTTTATACCCTGGTTCATACCATTCTCGATTACTAACAGAAAAACGTCGCGCAGAA